TTATTTTGATATATCACAGTGAAAGATTTATCGTCCTCTTTTTTTTTTTTTTAAAAAAAAAAAAAAAAAAAAAAAAAAAAAAAAAAAAAAAAAACAAAAAACCACACCACCATCCAGCTTATATATCACATCATATCTTTCAATTTAAGAGTAATAAATACTTCAAATTACCTTGAAATAGGGCATTTTTGGACAGTTTATTGTTCTGGACCAGAAAACACTGTAACTTTTTAAAAGTGTGAAACAAATTTTTGGTGATACCCTAAGAAGGTACTACTCTATTGGCTGTGGGCAATCAGGTGCTAATTTTGTTTAAACCAATGTGCTTTCCATTCAATTAGCATTCAATCAAAAGGAAACTGTCCTTTCCTCTCATAGAATAGTGCATGGAACAGAAAATAAATCATTCCAGAGTTCTTAACTTCTTTGAAAACACCAATAATAAAAATGAAAATTTAAAAGCACAATCATCGTATTCCATTCTCCCAAATCTCTAGCTGCCTCAGATCCCAAGAAGAGTGTAAGGCTTCCTAACCTAGTGGAGGGAAGATGTAAAAGCAGGTACACATTGTTCACAGGACAGAGGCTTCTTTTTTGATATGGCTTGTGAAGACACATACTTTTATGCTTTCAATGTGTGTGTATGTTAACATCTAGAGGAGGAACAGGGCCAATGAAAACCGTATTGCTGCCTCTTTTCTTAGGCTGAAATTTTCCAGTTCAGGGGAATGAAATGTCATTTGGGAAATCCATTTCATCCTGTCTTCACACATCTATTCCTTAGCATCTATCAGATCTTCTGAACAATTTATTTTTTATTGAAACATATCTCTGTGGTTATTTCTTCTATTTAATATCTACATTCTTATGTCTCTTTGTGCTAAAAATGCAACCAGGACAACTGTTTAAAAACAATAATAGTAGGCCGCTCTGTGAGACATGAGTGTGGACAGCTGAAAAGAAATATGTGTTTAGCTACCAAACACTTTTAGGATAAAGGACATCAACCAGTCACCCCAAATGGCTGACACAGTACCAAGGCAATGACAAATTTGATATTTTTTCTATACTAACATCCTTAGCAGTGACTTTGAAAGTTTTTTCTTTGACAGTATCAGATTCTTCAAAATTTGTTTTCAAAATACTCAGTACAAGTACTTTATGCTCGATCATTCACCGAAGTGAATGTTAAATTTTCTACCTCTATCAAAAATCTGTTATGTTAAAATTGAAAAGCATTTTGGTATTTATTAAGATGGCTAGTCAAAACCATGAGAGTTAGACTGTTTCCTTATCTGTTTGGTGAGAGTGCCAGGCAAAAATCATCAATATTTAACTGTCTTAAGAGTGAGGAAGGGGCTCGAAAGTTAATCAGAATTGCAGGATGCTTCATGCTTCAACAAGTATAGATTTGAAAAAGAATACTTCCTTGAGGTGATTTTTATCCTAGTTAAACTAGATAGCCTCTAATAATCATCCAACTTCTGACAAACTGTGGCAACATTTGAGGGGAAAATAGTTATTGAAATGGAGGGGTAATTTAAACACATAAATCCTTTCTTCAATAGGAGCACATTTTCTCCAATAGAAATCTCAGAGATGGTTAAAGCTTAGTAATTTAGCAATTAAATGAGGCTAAGAATAATTGTTTTGGTATGTAAAATGTTTCTTTATAAAGCTGTTTATGTGAAATCAAAATTGAAGGACATGCTGAACAAAATAAATATTACTCACCAATAGGATTGTTTATGTGCTTTTGTGTTGTGACAAGGCCTCACCATCAAATTTGATTTAAAAAATCATTCACAAATTTTCAGTCTTTTCTGAGTTCCTATGACTTGAACAAATCAAAGCTCCTATATGTATGGTGATTTTAAAGATAATGCTTCATGAGAAGCAACTTTTTTCCTAGGTCAGAAATATATTCCACAAAACTAAAAAGTCCAAACCAGAGTGACTCATTTTTGAACTAGCAGAATCAGGAGAATGAAAATAATGTTCTTAGCAGAATGAAAGCATCATCATGTTTTGTTACCTGTTGAATACAAGCCTTTTTACTATTCCTAGAACATAAATGTTAAGCAATAATCACATTGCACAATCAAAGCAGGAGAGTGCGAAAATGGTCTTCTGTGAAAAGTGACCAGTTCTTGTCAAACTATGGAAATCACTGGCTTTGTAAATTAAATCATCGCCACTGAAATGACCACTGTTGTGGTTTGAAGATGAAAAGCCCTCCATAGGCTAATGTGTTTCAATACTTGGTGTACAGCTGATGGGTACTGTTTGGGAAGGTTATAGAACCTTTAGGATATGGAGCCTTGCTGGAGGAAGTCTGTCACTGAGGTGGGTTCTGAGGGTTTATAGCTTGGCTCCACTTCCTGTTTTCTCTCTGCTTCCAAACTCTTTGTGCAATGCCTTCCCCTTCATGATGGACTGTATTCCTCCTGGAACTGTGAGTCCAAATAAACCATTTCTCATTTAAGTTCCTTCTGTCGTGGTATTTTATCACAACAGAAAAGTGACTTGATACAAGCACTAAAACTGATTCCATATTGTTGCAGGGTGTCGTCTGTCATAGCTACAACCCCTCAAAATGCAACCCTTAGGTATAATCCTTGAATCCCCTCTGACAGATTAGAGAATCCTTCGTCCCACTCACATCCCAACAGGCAAAGGCTGCAGTTGGAGTTATCAGCTATATAAGAGATCAATTAAGAAAGGAACTGGGATTCCTTGAAGCAAATCTGCTCTAAAACTTCTATAGCAACTCTGTTAGGATAAAGAGACAGCATCTAGAAAAAGAATAACAACTGAATACTAATATAGTTCTAATACTTCATTGTACCACTCTCCAAAATATAGCCAACTAGAAACTGGAGACTTACAAATCTAGCCTCAAGGGAGTCTGAAAGGTCATTTTCAAAACTATTAGAAAAATCTAAGAAAATGTGCTTTCAAGGTCCCTCAGGTACGATAATAGTGTTTTAATCAAGACTGTACTTTTGACTAAGCAGAACTATAAATCAACTGAAATGGTGGTAAATTAAATGTAGGACTTATAGATAAGAGGATACGGAATTAAACAGAGCTGTATTTGTGCATGCTCAGAGAACATTAAGACCAATTCAACGGATTTCCATTTCATGCAAAAAGAAAGCCATATTTATTCTGAACCATTCCATCGCAAGTAATTTTTACTAATGCCATTATAAAATATTTTATTTTTAACATTGTTCAGAATTATGACATATCAAGCTTAATATTAGACTCCAACATGTATCTTGATTATTTCTGAGTTGATTATCCAGTTTAGGGATTATGCACCCCCAACTCCACCTGGCCTCAGCCCCTGTAATTTTTCTTCTTTTGTTCATTTCTCTATTTGCTCCCTCTACCAGAGAGCATGTGGGTACAGGGAGAAGAGATACATGCAAATATAATCAATTTTGCTTCATAGTAAAAGGTTTAGTAAGAGAAGAGATTATAACTAATGGCTGAAATGAAGCCCTGAGACTGTCTGCAGATTTCATTTATCCTCATTCTCTGGCCCCTTGTTAGAAATGTGGCTTCACTTTAAACTATTATTCTCTAATGCGGTGACCCTCAATACAAGAGCATTCAAAAAGTGCCCTCTTGTACCACATTATAATACATGGTCCATATTATCTTCGCCACAACTGTGCAGTCAAAGCTTAATAAACCCTAGTCTATCTGTAAGGCAAGTGTTAGTCCTCCAGCAGTACTACAAAAGGGTCTTGCTTTTACTGGTGAGCCTAATCAGAGAATAGACAATCTGAATAGACTGAAATAAGAAAAGAAAAAAAAAAAGATTTGTCTGGCTAAGAACATACATGAGTATAAAATGTGCGCTAAGTCGAATGGGTTCCATGAAACCTTTGACCCCTGGGGTCTACAATTGCATCCAAAGTCCTGACCTT